TCTTTTCAGAAAGTGTGTATGAGATGGCTCCTGTCTTCATCTTCTGCCACCAGTGACTTTCTCTTCTGTAACGCTCAGTCGAATCATAGAATCATTTAGGTTGGAAAAGACCTGTAAGATCATAGAGTTTTGTGTTAATTTCCTGAAAAGACTTTATTCAGCAATCCAATGAGTAGGAGTATTAGGTAGATTATTTGGAGCTAGATCAATAGGATTAATGACTTGCTTTTTAAAAAACCCCAACAAACCGGTAAGACCCGAAAATCTCTTCTGTTGTCTTTTGGTTACACTTAGTGGTGGTACTGACCATCCTAATTCATGAGGGAGCACTGCAAAAGTACTGAGATTGCCATTCAGCCCTGCTGTATTTTCCTGTTTCCTTCCCACATGCAGAGGCAGGTGTCTACCTAAGATACAACTACAACTTCAGGAAAGAGTATCTCCCTAAAAAAAGAAGGATCTCTTTTGTCGTCTGAGCTCATCTTTCCTTTGCAAAGACCTGCCTTTGAAAGTTATTTAGTAGAAGCATTATTTAAAAAATAAAGATATAAAAAAATATTAATTTCCACAGAATCTGGATGCAGCCTTAGAATGCAACTAATTCTTGAGCTGATTTTCTCCCTTTCCACCTGAAGTCCCTCTCTAGACTTTTTATTTTCCGTCTCTTATCCCAGATTGTGTTATGCTGTTGATGTCCTGTCAACCTCAGGTTTTTACATTGGCCCTCAAGTGATACCACTTGGTTAATTTGAATGTGACCCCTGGAAACTCAAGTCTATAGTGATGATTAAACCTTTCTGACCTTGACAGGCATGGTAGCCACTGTGCCTAAATGGCACCTGTATTCTATGTTCAGTCCTTATTGTTTCAGTATGTGTCTTACCTGTTTTGGGATACTCCTAGTACCACAGGAAATGGTAAAAAACAGTACAAGAAGAAAAAAAGTTGGATATAGAAAATAAACAGAAAGGAAGTTCTTAGTCCTTCCGCAGTCATTAGCTTTGTTTTCAGTAACATTTAAATAAAAAAAAATCATCAAAGTAATTGTCAAGATCATAAACTTGTACAAAAATATTCAGACCTTTCTGACTATGTTAATATATCTAGATTTCTAGATGTGCCAGAAGAGGGCACTGGTAGTTTTGGTTATTTCCTGCTGGGGTAAGGCATCTTCCTTACTCCAACAAGTCTGACAGTCTCCAACTACGGTCTTTATTTCCTTGTTGTCAGGGATGGGCAGTGTCAAGTTAATCACCTTCAGTATGTAAAGAGTTTTGTTTACTTGGCCTTAAGAATGAGACTTGATCTCATGACACTATATATAATTCCTGTGTGGTGGTTTTTTTCCCCTGGTAGATTATTATATTTGCATGAATTCTCTTGAGCTTTTTGTTGTTTAATACTATAATCTTTTTAGGATTAATACATAATTATTTAAAGTACATCCTTCTTGCATGTCTTTATGCCTGTAGGTGGTGCTGAGGTAAAGCGATGTACATGTATTCTCATTATAAGGGTATTTATATTGGTTTGTTTGGCTCTGCTGGCTCCTCAGGTTATCCTACATTACGGATAGAGAAGAATGATCTTAAAAGTGTCACTCTAATGGAAGCAAAAGCTAAAGTGAAGGACATAGCCATCTCCAGGGAGAGGATAACTCTGAAAGATGTGCTCCAAGAAGGTATTTACAGGACTCATACACTTGTTGGCTACAAGATGCTGTATATTTGTTGTTTTTTTTAATAGCTAGCTTCTTCTGAAATTAATCATGGATGACGTTTCTGATCTTCGTAACTTGGGTGGACGGGAAGAATGGTGCATGAAGTTTGCATTTGGGGCGTGCGGGGGGTGGGGAAAGCAGTTTCCAGAATTCATTAGAATGGGGGAGCAACCGTGCTCAGTACATCATTCAGCTTGTCTCTTTTGATAATCTGGTCCTTTAAATAAAGGAAAGAGTTAGATGGCTAAGGAATGAGGTAATCAGTTGGGGCTGTAAGTGACAAAGTAACTCACTTTTGTAAGTTACTGCAGGAGAGCTTCTCATTAAAAAAAAAAATAAAATGAGGAAACCCAAAGCCTACAAAAATCTCGGTTGTCTAAACTCATTTTCTTAGTTTGATAGCTCTGATTTGGAAATCTTATCAGAGGATGCAACATTTACAGCTCTGATAAGAAAAATTCAGGGATTATCTGATCTTTTTTTCTTGTATAACATTTATGTTAGGAAGTGTTCATGCACAACATTAATTGGTTCTTATTGATAGTGAATTTGAGAAGTGGGCTTAAATATTTAAAGAGTTTTGTCATTAATCTTTATTGCTGCAACTTCAGCTCTGTATTCCCTGAGCCTCATGAGAAATCAGTGTTCCCAAAGCTAGAGTTTTGAAATACTCATCCTTTTGGAAGTAGAACTGCTAAGGGCTTTACATTACTGTCTGAAAAACAATGGGAGGATGCTAGCACTCCCCATTTAATGTATGCCTCTAAATCTCTAAGGAGGTGTCTTTGTGCTGGACAAAAAGCTTCCTTTGCATGCTTTGTGTTCCTTTGTACTCTCCGTTGCCTATAGCTGCAATGTCAGGCTTTATCCCAGACTCAGTGCCCCAGCCAGGCTTCCCATGTTTAGCACCAAGTGACAGAGCTGCCCTGGTCAGTGAAATGTGGCTGAAATGGCCGGTGAATACAGTGGGATCTTGTTTCTTGGCCTCCAGCTGTTACTGGAGTGTGACAAAACCTTCAAAAGTTAGTCAGGACTAGAAGAGAGATCCTGATGAACAGTCATCAGTTTTAGTTCAGGATTATAGCAGAGCTGAGCTGCCATCCAGGAACAAAAGAGCTTCAGAGGGGAAGAAGCAAATTGAAAAATTGTCTGCATAAAATTTTAAAAAATTTCTCAGTGCTGCCAGTGGAGCTTATACGTATGTTACAGATCTTAGCCACCGATTCATTATAAACTTCAAGTAGCTTGCATAACTTAACGTTTTAATAATTTAGGAGATTATGGTTCTGCTGTCGTGTAACCACTTGGAAAATGCAAAGCATCAGGTCTGAGAGAGCACACAGGAAGAGGGGTCTGTAGAGGCCTTTTATATCGCTGGGCTTGTAGAGCACCTGATTCTGAACCTGCTTCAAGTGTATTTTACTAAGTGTAAAACAAAAAATGTAGGGGTTTGGGTTTTTTTTTTTTTTTAAAAAAAAAAGAGGTTTTCTAATGGATCATAGGCTAGAATGATCTTAGAAGGATCTTAGGCTAGAATGAGCCTTAGAGATCATCTAATCCAAGCTCCCTGCCATGGGCAGGGACACTTCTCAGCTAGACTAGGTTGCTCAGGGCCTCAATAGAGTAGCTGTGCTTTAACAAATGGGGCAGATGTTAACGGTAAGCGGAACTTTATAATTGTCTGGTGAAGTAGAGAATCCAGTCTGGAATACAAACAACATGATCTGTAAAAAAAGAGGAGAGCGAGGCAGAAGTAGCACATTCACAGTGCTGTCTCTAAATGTTATAGGACACGGGTGGCATACAATTCCTGCTAAAATATGAGTCTGTCAGGGTATTGTTAAAAAAACAAAACAACAAAATCCCAATCTGGGGTCCAGGCATGCTGTTACGGTCTTACTATGTGTAGATATTGGACTGCGTGAGAACTACATTCTAGTCGTAACTGCTTTTGTGTTCTTCCCTATTCTCTTTAATTCCAGCATTTGCAAATGGGTAGCTTGATACCATAACATGTTTCAATACAAGATGCTATCTTCCCTTTGACTTTTAAATATATATGTGTATTTGAAATATATATTTAAGGCACTTTCTTGATGCACTGTGCCTGCTAAGTATATAGTAACTAAAAAAGACCCACACTTCATTCCAGAAGATGTACAACCAGGCTAAGGCAATCCTACAAACAGTCTTTCACCCTAGTCAGACAGGACAAATCAATGGGAAAGGGATGCAACATATAAATAGACTGCGTGAAAATAATGCACACGTTGGTGCCACGGTTAGTAATGTTACAGAAAAGCATTGTCAGCTTGAACTGTATAAAATATTAATTCTATGTGTATCACCACACTGTGGTTTTTCTTACTCCAACTGTTCAATGTAGCTCGGTCCTGCAATAGCTTTGTTAAAATTTTGTGAATGGAAAAATGTTGGAGAGGATGAAATGCCCCACAAGCCCAAGACCTTCCAGCTGAGGTGAAATGTTTCAATAATGTACTAGTGGTTTTTTTCAAAATTGTTCCGTGTGTATGGTTGCCTGAAACCAGTATTACCCTGTGAACATTTAAAAAAAAATAAATTCATCTTTCAGAAATGTTTTCACTGTAAAATTCTAGACTAACTGGAGGAGAAAAGGATGGAGCTGGAGTTTTTAGTGCAGACAGTCAACAAAGACTGAACTGCCATAAATAAACCCGTAGTGATACTTAATTTATCTGGATTCTGCTGCTATCGTTAGTTTACTCTCAAGCTTTTCTCACAAAGTTCTAGTTATCTAAAAGTGTCAGCATTTACTGAATCCGCCTCATACTGGAGAGGTGGTTCCATTATATATTGTTGACTTAGAGCTTTCAAGACTTGTGCTTTAATTGCCATTGTTGCTGACTTTCTACCTGACTGACACATTTGAAGGTAGTGGGTTTTTAGTAGATATTCTACTAATGTTATCAGTGTGTTTTAACGACGTAATACTTGCTAATAGTATGTTCTTTTCATAGGCACATTTGGGCGCATTTTCCATGGGATTCTAATAGAAGAAAAAGATCCCAGTAAAGAGAAACAAGTTTTTGTCAAAACTGTTAAAGGTATGTTTACATAAAGGAGCGTTTGTGTCCAGTTGCTTGGATTATGGTGTGTGCTGAGTACAACAAATCTGTCTTTTAAAAAAAATCCAACAACCCAGCACTCTCCTCCCCAAGATATGCAAGTAGCTACTACTTAAGAAGCAAAAGCAATTTGGATGCTGCCTTCAGCCAGAGAGAACAAAAATCTTATATGGAAGAAAAATGTGTATGGTCTTCTGTTAGTGCTTTCAGTTATCATGTCTTGAATACTTTCACTTATTGTTCTTCTAAGTAAAAGTTGTATTTGTTTTTCCCAGAATATGTCATTGTTCTTTCCATCCACAGCATTTTCCCCTTCTATTTGCTGAAAAAGGCACCTGCACTGCTTCTTAATCTTATAAACGTGTGGCTGTACAAAAAATAGGACATAGATTCTGCCAGCCTTAGGATTTGCTACTGAAGAGTGAGAATTATATTTGCATAAATTAAGTTCTAAATTATAACATCTTTGTTCAAAAAACACTTAGTTGCTTTAAGTCATGACAGGTAGACTTAAAGAAACAAGGTAAATATAGATGAAAACAATATTATGTATATCAACATGTGTGCTGCATATATCCCTCATGTATCTCTTTCTCTGCACTCATCATTGTGAGAGTTCTGTAGTAGTTCACAAGTTTTGCTGAATTCCCTGTGTAATAGTTGCTTCATCAGTTATTTTTTTCATTTTAATTGGATATATTATTGCTTTTGTTTTTTTCATTTTGCAAGTTCTTTATTTCTTTAAAAGAAAAACCAAAACAGATTAGGCTTCTGTAAGTATTTCAGCTGTTTGTAACTTTTCTTTTGCCTGGCTAATAATTTTTAAATATACTAGTTTTAAAGAGGAAGATGAGAACTGATGAAGATGCTAAATCTTGTGGTTGAATCTTTTTGCTACCTGTTTATTCTATGCCATTTTAAAGAAAAATATGCTACTTACAGAAAGCAACTTTCTGTTATCGTTGGTATGTTTCTCACAGAATCAGATGCTTATGATAATAAAAGAGTTTATGTGGATCTGTCTGGATATCAGCAAAGCATTTGACAC